TCGTGCCGGTCGATGGATTGGCGAATGCTCGCCGAGGAGACCACATGACGAACAATGGAAGGATGAGGAAGCGGCACTGTGTATGGGACTAGTTCGCCACGCCGATCACGAACGGAACGGTGCGTCGAAAAAAGTTTACCGGATGGTCTTCGCTTTGCAGCCACGACATGCCTAAGATCATATCGAACTTAGTGTCCAATATGTCGAATGACACGGCCTCGCATGCGAGCGGGGCAAAGTACACGGGCACGGACTCAACGCAGCGGTCGATTGACTTTTGCGTGTGACCATCGGCCAACGTGACATGCGTAGGCTGACTTTTCCTTCAAACGTGCGGGCCAAGCCCGGTGCGTGCCATAAAGTCTTGGCTGATATAGTTGTGAGTCGCTCCGCAATCGATCAAGGCACTGCAAGTCGCCTTTCCGATCTAAATGCGGATGTAGAGGAGCGGCACGTCAATGTCGACGTACCGTTGCATTGCGTGATCGCGGTCGATCTTCGCAAGATAGCTGCGAAGGTCGACAACCGTTACTCCGCAGTCCGTCGACTGAGGCGGTACTGCAGCCTGCAAGTATTCGCGCAAATGTGTCATCAAGGCATTGCAATGCGGTGTTGGCAAAGAACCGGTGGAGGGAAGAGGTAACCATTGGAAGTCCTCAACCGTCAGCGGGTCGAGTTCCTCAAGACTCGCCCAAGTTGCCGGATCCTTCGATAGAAGGGCTGGCGAAGCAACCGGTTCGTTGTCCGACGGCGGTAACACCGTGCATGCGCTTGAATCTTGCACGTGGAGAGGCTGGTTCAACGACAGGACCAGCTGGACAGCATAGTTCTCGAAGTCAATCTGAGAACTTGCGACTAACGCGTCATCCCCGGACGTGAGAGAGACTGCTTGCAAGGCAGCCGAGTCCGGTGGACTGGGAAGTGATGTCGCTGCGCTTCCCGCGGTGCTCAGTTTCCCGAGCCTGGACGCTTGAGATTTTCTTTGTCCTTGTTTAGGCACGCACTAATGATGTGTTTGGTACTGTTGCACCATAAACAGCATCCCCATTTCTGCCGTAACTTGAACATGTCTTCGGTGATCCCGAACTTTGTCCATGGTGACTGCCTCGCTCCATCCGCCGGCGCTGGTTTCGCCTTGTGTTTTCCCCCACGGGGTCTTGAGCGTTGCGGTGGTATTGCTGCCTCCACATCTCCGTCACTTGATGTTGAAGCGGCTGCTTGGTCCTCACTAGATCCTTGCTGGATCGCTGCTACTTGTGGCGTTCGCTGACCTTTGCCTTTCTCCATGTAACCAGGCTGTTGGCGGGCCTCATTGGCCGCGCGCCGGCATCCTCCTGTTCCCATTTTCGAAGTTCTGCTGCAGCAGTCTCCGTGTACAGTTGGAGATGTTCGAGAAACGCTAGTTGTGTTTCATCCGCCTGCTGAACTGGCATGGGAGGAGTCACCAGCCTCTTGGGGCTGTCTTGCGTATTGGCGTCAGCGGTCTCGGCGATGGTCGTGCGTCGTTTCCGCAGGATCCGAGGTGTCTGGAGACCCTGATGGGGCTGAGTGCCCTTGGATCCGCGCTCAGCGAGTCGTTGACTGCGGTGCATCTAGCAGTCCTGGCTCCGTGTTGCAGCTAACATGTCACTGCTGCACAACGCTGACGTGGCCGGAGGCTGAAGTCCGCTTTTCCGAGAGAAGAGAGAAAGTAGGGGTGGGAAGAAGGGAGGGAGGCAAGCAATGCACAGACAGTCCCTTCCGCCCTGAATTCGGACCTGACACTTGATCAAGAAAGAAAAAAAAAATCCCCCCACGAAAAAAAATGAATTTTGAAAATTTTAGTATTAAATACTCAATTATTTAATTAAGTAAATGCAATTAAGACTTAAAAGTCACTTAATTAAATATAATTTTAATTTTGCAAAAATTAAATATTTTTATTAAAGAATACTTTAAATTTGCAAAAAAATAAAATGGAATAAATTGTAAATGACAGTTTAAACGTTTAATCACAATATTTAGTTAAATAATTCTATGAAATTTAATCGGGAGATTTCAGCATCATTTCGAGGTCATGAGGTAAGTATCAGACTAATGGGAATTGGAACATACACAATTCGCTGCAAAGGTTCAGGTTTGATCGCCAGAAAGATGCAATTGGCAAAAGGTGAAAGTCCCGTGAAGTTGCAGTTCGAATGTGGCCGTGCTCAGGCCCGATCTGCCCTAATTAGGCTAGATGCCTGGCTGGCGCTACTATCCGTTTGGAGAGAGAGGTCGTTAGGTCTGGATTTAGGTTAGTCGTAACCCTAATCTGTGCTAATCAGGGTTAATCGCGTTTTCGCAATTTACCCTGATCACGCAAACTCGGAGATGGCCTGAAACCTAAAAATAGGTCGAAGACTGACTTGCTCAGTAACGAAAAGACGAACTAATTTGTTTTGCAACTTGCGAATAATGATAACAGAGTACAGGTGAAATCAATCAATCAATCAATCAATCAATCAATTAATCAATCAATCATCGATGGGTTAATCAATCAATCAATCAATCAATTAATCAATCAATTAATCAATCAATCATTGATGGGTAGATCAAACGCTAGTTGAGCAGCTTGATCCATCGATCGATCGATTGATGGCAAGCCATCCAATGCTGGTCTGCTCGGATACCAGCGTGTTGCATACTTGTGAACACAGACATAAGTATGGCGCAGATCCCAAGAACCGACCAGATAATACAGAGGACATGCAATTACAGCGGAAGACTTGAGATACATGGATTGACTCAGACCTGACTCAGACTGCAACGAAACACTCACAAACATACATCGGTGGTGTGAAAGCCCTGGCCTTGGACATGGAAGAAAGGGCCAGGGTCTGATTTCCTACACGGATGAATGGAGGGGAGGAGAGACGAAGGGAGGAGGAGAGGGAAGATGACGTCAACTCCATGTCTCCAAAATAGTATCTCGAAATGTCATAACTAGTGCAAATCCGGAATGTCGTGAATACAGAGTCTCACAGTGTCCCAGATATCGATCTCCCAATGTCAAGATACATCCCCAGAGATAGATGCAGTCAGATCCCAAGGTAGTCCTCAACCAAAATCTCAATGTTACTATCTCAGACATCATCAGAACTCATAACCATCCTTCATACACGTAGTAGTCCAGTGGGAGTAACCCAAGAGTAGACTTAAGAGGGTAGGAGTAGAGGGAGAGAAAGAGAGAGAGAGAGAGAGAGAGCGGAGGAGGAAGAAGAGGGAGGAAAGACGAAGCCTTCCTCCCTGGTGCCTGGCGCTGCATCTATGGTGCTGCAGGGCTGGGTGCTGGGCCGCGGGCTGGGCCAGAGGGCTGGCGCTACTCTGCTGCCGCGCCATTCCTCCTGCTGCTGCGCTAATTCTCTCCACTGCTCTGCTCATGCTAACGCCGAAACACTGCACTGACCTGTAGACTAACCTGCCTACTGAGGCTGGTACCCAGCTGATATAGTGCTGGGCCGGCCTCAGTACTTCTGGTGCCTTCGGGTCTGGACCGTTGATCAACCCAAACGGTTCAGATCCGATTCCGAAATCTGAAAGTAAAGTGGCTCCTAAACTGCGCCGCCGGCCTGTCCTACCGATGGACCGGTACCTGGCCTAACCCAACTACCGGTAGCCGTTGGGTCTGGTTGTGTCTAAACTAGGCCTACCGGACTCTGATCTGAACCGACGGTTCCTAGGCCTACCTGGACCTGGCTGGGCCCGTCGTGACCCGGTACCTAGGCCGAACCGGGCCCTAACTGGGGCCCGTGTAGTATCAGTATGCCACGAGAGCGAAACCGAACCCGGCACAGAAAAAGACAACTCCATGCCAGCAAAGCGACTCTGGCTGGTAAATCTTTTTTCTGTTGTCATTTTCTTCTGGAACTGCTGAAACGCGCACCGAAGTTCGAATCCGACAAAAAAAAGACAACTGAGAGAGAGGGGCAGCTGTCACAGGAGGACGTTTTCGAAAAGCACACAGCCAAGAATCCCATGAAAACAAACAAAGATAGCGTGCTGGGTGTCGTGTGAGGATGTTTTCCGAAAAGCACATAGCCACCCGACCTTACAATGGGCCTATCTCAACTACTCGCCAAATGTGCAAAATGAGAGTGCACCGCCACCTGTTTGGTCTTTTGTGCATCTGGTGAGTAGTCGAGCAAGTCCCTATGTTCTTCTATTTGAACATGTGGAAATAACATTGGGGGCGGCTTCGCAAAAGAGTCCACCGAGCAAAAGATGCAGAAGAGCCAGAAAAAAAAAAAAAAAACGGAGAGGGCAAACACACACAACAACCAAAGAAAAGGGGATTGCAACACGTGTCACTGCCATCCATGCACATTGTTTCAAGGACTGCTTGTCCCAACTGCCGCCTCCTCCTCCTCCTCTCTCTCTCTCTCTCTCTCTCTCTCTCTCTCTCTCTCTCTCTCTCTCTCT